ATGTCATGTAAACTTAATTACCTCCTTAAAGGCCCCGTCTTCAACACTCCCATCCCCTTAACTCCATACTATGTGAGCTAGGTCCTTACACTAAATCTGTGTGTGTGTGTGTATGTGTGTATGTGTGTGTGCACATGTGTGCGTGTGTCTCCTATTAGTTCTGTTTCCCTGAAGAACACAAACTAATACACAGATACTGTGCAGGGAGATGAAAGCCTAAATCACACCTCTAAGGAGAAACATTAAAATTAAATCTTATTTTTACCTAATGAGAGAAAATTAAATAGTAAAGAATACGATTTTTGTCAGAAAGGGTTGAGTTTTGGAGGGCCATAAAGCACTGTAATATTTAATAATTTTTGCTAAACCCCAAAGAACCAGTTTTGCCCCTTTGGGAGACAATATTGCATGCCTTTTAGAGAGAGAATCCATTGCATCCACAAAACAAGAGTAAGTTGCAATTTATAAAATGAGCACTGAAAACATAAGAGTTCTAGGAATTGAAAAATCTGAAAATAGAAATTAAAAACTCGGTGAAATGCCGAAACCGGTTTGGCTCGGTGGATAGAGCGTCGGCCTGCGGACTGAAGGGTCCCGGGTTCGATTTTGGTCAAGAGCATGTACCTTGGTTGCAGGCACATCCCCAATAGGGGGTGTGCAGGAGGCAGCTGATAGATGTTTCTCTCTCATCGATGTTTCTAACTCTCTATCTCTCTCCCTTCCTCTCTGTAAAAAATCAATAAAATATATTTAAAAAAAAAATAAAAAGAAAGAGACACGGTGATTGGCTGCCTCCTGCAGGAGCCCCAACCAGGGCCAGGGATTGAGGCTGCAACTGAGCTATGTGCCCGTGATCAGAATCAAACCCAGGACCCTTCAGTCTGTGGGCCAATGCTCTAACCACTCAGAAAAACCAGCTAGAGCTTTATCCACCTTTTCATTGTTCTAAATAGCACTGTGATAAAATCTTTGTATAAATACCTCTGGTTATTTCCTTAAATTGGATTCCTAAACATGGGATTACTGATTAAAGATTATGTATGGATTTATGGAATTTGCTTCACAATGCCTACTTGAATTCTGGTCCTGTGCTATTTAATATAGTAGCCACTTAGCCACATGTATCTATAGTTAAATTTAAGTGCAATTTAAAAACCAGCTCTTTTGTTGCACTGACCACTAGACTTAGTCCACAATAGCCATGTGGGGCCAGTGGCTACATATTGGACAATGCAGACAGAACATCTCTATCATTTCAGAAAGTTCTAGAGGACAGCACTGTTTTAGAGAAACCGTACTTTTTGTTCTGCCATATCAGTCTCTCTATTCCTTTATCAGCTTTAAATATTACCATTTCAAGCCTTATGCCAAAAAGGGAGTCTTCATTTAATTCATAATTGTTTCTAGTTAGAACTGACCATTTTGTTAGCAATTGTATTTACCTGTGAATTCTCATTTGCTAGTTGTGATGTTATTCTTGTAGCTCTAGATACCCTAGGACAGCGGTTCTCAACCTGTGGGTCACGACCCCTTTGGCGGTCGAACGACCCTTTCACAGAGGTCGCCTAAGACCATCCTGCATATCAGATATTTACATTACGATTCATAACAGTAGCAACATTACAGTTATGAAGTAGCAACAACAATAACCTTATGGTTGGGTCACAACATGAGGAACTGTATTTAAAGGGCCAGAAGGTTGAGAACCACTGCCCTAGGAGCTGTGCGTCATGGTCTCACCTCCATGGCCATGCCCCACACCGGAGCATATGACACCTCCACTGGAAAAATGTGGAAATATCCTTTCCAAATGACGGTGACATTTGTCCCACTGTGGTTTTCTGTAGTCTTCCTTCCTCTTTTTCATTCCTCTGGGGTTCTGGGGGTTTCTGTTTGGTCTCCTAGCTATTTACATGTTGTAGTGGCTGGGGCCACTTCCCTACATCTTAGTATGTGCCCATGCTAACCTGCCTCTTCCCCCCCGCCCCGTCCCCTCCAGCCTGTACTCCTGCCAGTGACACCACAGTACCCTGTGCCTAGTACCTTTCGAACACTGTTTAATGAAATACTACACATTTGAGAAGGGCAGAAAGAGAAAGTAAAAAAAAGAGAAAGCTAATTTTATTTTTAATGGAAATTCTGGTTTCAGCAGAACCTAGTGAAGTTTAAATATTTGCTCCCCAACATGGTTCTGCAAGGTATTCATGATTTATTTCACAATTTCCCCTTCCTTGGTTGACAACTGTGAAACAGGGAATCAAGTGCTATCAAATGTGACTGTGAATAATGTGTGAGGCAAGCAAGTATCCATGTTGCAGTCCCTTCTCTTACTCTGCCTTAATCCTGAGCAATAATAAAAACAATTGCACAGAAACATTTAGGGATGTGGGAGGTGCCAAGGGATGCTTTATTTACCCTCAAGAAAGGGTCCTTGATTGGTGCTCCCCTATGTGCCTCGGGTGGGGGCCTTGCAGAAACCTTCAGAGCCCATGGCCTTACAATGTTGCCCAAATTTAGTTGCGAGCAAACTACCTTCAGTAGGCAAAGTAGGTTGAATGCTGGATAAAATATCCCTTGCTTTAGCCTCAGTGAGGCCAACACTGATATCATGAGCTAAAGTTGACCTAGAAAACACATTTGTGAGCATTTCCCTTCCTCTTCAATGACAATAAAAATGGACATGTGTAACTAATTAAGATGGGAGTTGAGGCCAATGGGCATATTGGGCATCTAGTGCCACCTTGTGGTGACATTTCCAAATCCTGGGCCCTTTCAAGGACGCCAAGATTTTAAAAAGGGCAGCCCTCTTGGAGAGGAGTTTGGATTTAATGACCATCATGGGAGAGGTCATTTTCTTGGAGAACACAAACTAACAGAAATCACTAGCACTTGCTTGGCACTTTATAGTAAATAAAGCACTCCCCCGTGATTTAATGTTGGCAGCAGCCCTGTGCTGTAGGTAGTAGGATCTCAGCCTCAGAGATGTGGAAACTGAGGCTCAGAGAAGTTGGAGACCTGAATTAGGCAAGTCCTAACCATACTCCCAATTCTATCACTTATTAATATTATTGTACTATATCACACAGTACATATAAAAAACTCACAAGGAATGAATAACACTATGTAGTATAGGGTATATACTGCATGGTATAATACATAGCCTAGACCAATGGTCGGCAAACTGCGGCTCGTGAGCCACATGTGGCTTGCGGGCTGCAGTTTGCCGACCACTGGCCTAGACTATATAGAGTATATACTACATGATATTTATGGTACTAGAGTACTTATGCTATTTTCTTTTTTGTTTGTTTGTTTGTTTTTAATCCTCACCTGGGGATAGTTTTCCATTGATTTTTAGGGAGAGTGGGAGAGGGAAAGTGAGAGAAATATCGATGTGAGAGAAACCCATCAATTGGTTGCCTCCTGCACGAGCCCTGACCAAGGCCTAGGCCGGGGAAGAGCCTACAACCGAGGTGCATGCCCTTGACCGGAATCAAACCCGGGACTCTTCAGTCTGCAGGCCGACGCTCTATCCACTGAGCCAACCCAGCTAGGGCTATGCTATTTCCTATAGTACTGCTGAGCAGCACTCACTTCCTTCCTGGGGCTGTTTTCTGTCTGTGAAGACTTTCACTCTGTAAGGCCCATGAGCATCTATCCTATAGGTCCATCTTCTTTAAAAGTTGATTTCAAAGAAAAAAACACTGCAAAGGACAGACTCTGTACTATGATCAGTTTTGCTCTCACCTAGTGTAGCCATCTTCCAGCCTGCAATAGAAGGAGAGAGAATATATAAAGCAACAGGCCAGCAGACAAGACAGGAGTTCCTCTTGCTTCCCCGCTCCTAGGCCCCTCCTAGAAAGTCAAGGACAGGTGGCAGTTAGGATGTCCACCAAGCTTCCTGCCTGAGACCCACTGCCAGGACTTACTCCAATTGTGCAGAAAGCTATGACTATTACCCAGCCCCTCCCACTCAGACCCCTTCTCTTCAGATGCGGTTGGGGTTTAAGGCCCTGGATTGCTGCATGTATAGTCCAGTCAATATGCTCAAGACAAATGCTCTCATAAACAGCTTCCTCCAAAAAGTGAAACCAAGGGCTAACTAAAGGATCACCTTTAGTTAGCAGGCCAAAAGAACTTGGGTTATTTTTCATACAGTAAAAGTCATTATAGGAGAATGTTTGGGAACAGGTCAGCAGACCAATTTCAGGATTTTCCCCTATTCTACCAAATACTAGCTATGTGATTTTGGCCATGTCAGTCATTTACTTCCTAACCACTATGTCCTCATTTCCCACAGGGAGGTGGGGCAGATCATCCACCCTATTTCTGGAGAAACTGCGTTGGGCAGATGAGGGGAGGAGAAGGGCCAAGGTGGTGGCCTTCCCTTCTCTCCCTTGGGGTAGTGTGGCAAAGACTGGCCCAATTATAGAGGTCTTAAGACCTGGCCAGATAGCTCCAGTTGGTCAGAGTGTTGTCCTGATACCCCAAGGTTGTGAGTTTGATTCCTGGTCAGGGCACATACAAGAAACAACCAATGAATGCATAATTAAGTGGAACATCAAATCTATGTCTCTCTCTCTCTCTCAAATCAATAAATTAAATTTTTAAAAATTAGGCCGGGAGCCACAGTGCGTTCTTGAGACACAGCAAAGTAGCATTTGTGGAACACTGGTCTTGAAGAGACACATGAGTGAACTGAAGCGGAGAAATATGAGACACTAGAAAAAGAGAAGAACAAACCTTCAGGCTAAAAATACACATGGATATGTTATTTTGCTCTGTTTGGCCTAATTTGTTCTATGGGGTTGTCGGACATGCTGCGCGTGTCAGACTCATGTAACATAAGAATAATAAAGATCTCTAAGTGCAAGAGGGCCCTTAAGCTTTCCTACAGGGACTTTTACAGTCAGACAACATGGCTCAATTACACCATAAGACTTCCTTTACTTTTTAGGCCTTGCAATTTTATTTGCTTTTGCATTTCTATAATACACACACACACACACACACACACACACACACACACTCTTTTTTGTGTTTTTTTTACACGCTACTTTTTAATATAAAAGTGATATATACTCATTGAAGAAGTTAAGATATAAAAATATAGAAAATAAAAAGAATGACATTAAACATTCCTCTTCAAGGGGAGGCATAAAAGTCAATCTTGTGAAAGAAAGGTCAGGACCTGTGCCCTGGGCCCAGGGTCACAGGAGTTGGGCTCTTTGGAGACTTTCGGAATTTGCTCTGAAGGAAAACTCTTGGCACACAGAGACCTTCCTTTTTGTTCACCGTCTCACGAAACACATACTCATTCACCACTTCTTCATAACCCGAGTCCGTAAAGAGCTGAGCCAGGAATTCTGTAAGACAGCAGATCAACAATGCTCGGTGCTGGTGTCACTACCTGTGCTTTGCGGTGGGGTAAGGACTCCCTAAGGGCTGTAGGGCTGAGACAGGTTTTTAAAAATGTAATGAAAACGTCAACATGAAAATGTAAGGTTTTGTTTTGGGAAGTAACACATTCCTACTTTTCTTCATCTTATACCCAAATAGAACCCCCCCTCCCCCCCAATAAAAATGTAATTGGGAAAAAAGTTTAAGGACAGCCTGGACTATGCCCACCTTGCCCTATTATGAGTCCCCAAATGCAAAAGTCTGAGTAAAAAGCAGCAAAATTCCAAACTGGATGTATTAATACAAAGTGTGCATGTGTTCAATTTGTTTAGATCAAGCACCTCATCGATCCTAATATGAAAGAGGAAAATCTGTGACCAGTGTTGGGGAAAGAAATTACTTGGTGGTGATATACCCCACAGAAAAGAAAATTTAACCCAAATAACATGTCACTACATGTTAAATGAAACAAATAACATTACAACAAATTTTTAATTTTCAACTGACATTTTCTATGATTCTGCAGTTTGAATGGTAATCATTCATTTTTTGTTTGGAATCCAAAAGAATATTTTATTTCAAGAAATACAAATGTTTGTAAAAAAACAGAGCTTAAGAAGGTAATTTATCTTATGGTCCATTATTAAATAGGTTTAAAACTCATGTTCAAAATGCCCAAAAGACTAAAATAACATTAAGTGTTTGGATGTTTTTAATTTAAACATGACTTTTTAAGGAGCCCTCTATAGCAAAATTGTGCATTTAAATACAGATCTAATCACTTTTATAGAAAAATGTTTTTTTTGTGACCTGGGAGAGCAATCACAAGGCAATATACTGTCCTATTTCCTTTATTTTTGACTGAACAACGTGAAGAAGACCCTGAGTTGGCCCCCCCTTTCCAGCAAGTTCTGGTAAGGGTATCCACGTGGCACACCAGCCTGTCCGTTAACCCAGGTCAATTAGACACCATCACCAGAGGAGGCTTGTGAGCTCACCACAGCCACGGGCTGTGTCTATGCCATCCTAGGTTCTAGGTAAGGGGCACGTGTCAGAGAGCTTGGCATGTGTGCCAAGTACAGCCATCCCCATCCCAACCAGTAACACAGTGATAACGCAATCAAGTAAACACAAATGAAGACAGAGTCCAGTAATCTTACCGTCAGTAAAAAAATACGATCTGGTTCCATCTTGTCTAACATAAAAGTTCTCTCCAAGTTTGCTTCCAGCTTTAAACCTAAGCATGGCGTGATCATACAGTCCATAGTCACGAAACAGGACACTTTTGCCTGGTTTCAATACCTACAAAGCAAAAGCAGGGTGCATATAATTCTGGGGAACCCAGTCAAATAAAGCTTTATAGAGATGGATTCAAGCTAAAATAAAACCTGATTAATTTAGAGACTAAATTAACTTACATTTATGATAATTAGGAAAGGGGTGAGACTGAAATCCCCATAATATGGAGGGAAAGGGCCTGCTAATCTAAGGTGCAGCCAGGCCTGGCAGTATGCCCACTGAGGGACACTTCCTGAGCACTTACAAAAGTATTCTGGAAGGTCCAGTGTCACACGATTAAAATGTTAAAGATATTAAACGAAATAGTTGTATCCTCATGAAGGCATGTTCTTCCAATGTTTTATTAGCCATTTCCTAGCACAGTGTCACACGATTAAAATGTTAAAGATATTAAACGAAATAGTCGTATCCTCATGAAGGCATGTTCTTCCAACGTTTTATTAGCCATTTCTTTTTCGCGCCCGCACGTGGTATTTTGTGGAAGAGCCACACTCAAGGGGCCAAAGAGCCCCATGTGGCTCGCGAGTCGCAGTTTGCTGACCGCTGACCTAGCACATGACCCTGTAGTCAAACTATCTCTTTTAAAAAAGTATGTCATTTTGGCTTTTACTGATTCTGGCTGGCTTTCCTCATTCTGAGTCTCAGCTCTGATTTCACTGTGCTACAACTATGGACGGCTTCCCCACCATGCTAACACCTGACATATGCCCAGCCCTGTACAGCTTACCCGACATTGTCTCACTGGATCTTCACCCAATTCCGAGAGAAAGGAAGCAGTGTGATTATCCTCCTCACGTGAGATGAGGAAACTGACATCAGAAGAGGTAAGTGATTTACGATCACACATCAGCTACTAAGTGGGGGAGTCAGGACTCACACTTGGGTCAAAAGGCATGTTAGCCCTTGTGTGTGTGTGTGTGGGGGGGGTCATTCCAATGCCATTGACGCTACTGACAAGAAAAGAGGGGCTACGAGGGGAGGAGTGTTCTTCCCACGCTGTGCTGCGCTTCTCAATGTGAGGGGTGGACCAGGCAAGTGCAGGAGTGTAGGGTAGGGGTTCAATGTCTGGCCCAAGTGGGAACCCTCACTAAAGCCTTTCAGAGATAGGCATCACAGGGTGGATGTCTCAACAACTGGAAGGTAAGATCAGCAGGGAGTGGGTATAACTGCTCCTATCTTACAAAGCAAGTAACCATAGGCTTTCAGGATGAAGAGAAAGTGGTACGCACTAACACTTTTATGTGAAAATTCTTTCAAACTGCATTAATATTACCAAATTAGAGTGGACTTCAAAGGGGGCACTGATTTTATTAACTCCTACTCTGACCCATGAAATCAACAAGATAATTAAGACATGACATATACTACCTATTATAATAGATATTTGACATAGTTTGATGTTTTTCTTCTTTCTGAATAGAATATAAATAAAGTATTGTCCATAATACTTTCAAGTGTGCTAGCAGATTCTCTCATTTAGTAATTTCTTATCAATACTAGCATGCATTTTAACTATTGTCAGTAAGAGGCTCTTGGATAAAAACATTCTTACCTTGGTCAAAAATGCTAAGTTTTAAAATGTGAATAATTGAGAGGGAAAATTTCTGAAAAAATTAGCTCATATGAGAAAGACTTAGTCTCCATTTCAGAAGAAAGGAATGCTATATGGGACCGTGGAAAAAGCACTCATTCAGGAATTTGAAAATCTTGATTCATATCATAATTCTTCCATTAACTAGTTGAATGACCTTGAGCAAGTAATTTCATGCCTCTGTATATGTTTTCTCGTCTGTAAAATAATAATTATGATACTCATGCCTCCTTTAGCCACGGCACTGTATAGTTAAACATGGCATTTCCCAATGTTAGGATCTTTTACTCCCCCAATAACTCCGAGAAGTGGGTAGGTTAGGTCTATTATAGCCACTTTACAGTAACTTAGGCTCAGAGTAAAATGATTTGCCTGAGTTTTCAAGACAAGTTGGTGGCACAGGTAGAACAAAATCCAAATCTTCCAATGACAAATGTGGTCTACTTTTACTTCACCATTATATTCCAAAAATAAGGTAATTCAACTTAAAGGTTTTCTTTCAGTTTAAAATTATGTGGTTTTAAAAATTCTCCAGTGTTAACATCTTGGAGTAATTATATCTACCTTACAATAGCTTTTGTAATTCTTTTAATATATATTTTTAAAATTTTATTTTAATATATTCTTAATTAGATGACTATATTATCAGAAAGTAGTAAGTTTTGTTTCTTTCTCATCCTCAAATCTTGTCTTTTTGTGGTGACTAGGACCTCTGCATAATGATGCGAAGTATTGGTAGTGGGCACCCTCAGCCCCATAAAGTTCCTGATATTCCATATTCTGCCCTAACTGCTACCTAACGCCTGAAGCCTTCATCAGTGAAATCACCAGTATCTGCAACCTCTTCTGAACGTTCTCTTCATTCTTGTGCTCACAGAAACCTCAGTCCCGATGACACTTTTCCCTGCAACCTCTCAAGTCATGGCTGTGTTTTCTCCCACTACCCTGTACCACTGGGCTGGGAGACCTAGCTGGTTTCCTCCCTTGCTCCTCAGTGCTATTTTCTGTGCATTCTCCTTCCTCCTCCCTGAAACCCCCGGCTCTGAATCTCTTGTCATCAGACTGTATCACCCATATCCCTTACTGATACCAGTGTCTATTAGTTCCATGGCCATATCCCTTCATTTCATGACAAATATATCTTTGGGTTTTACTCTCTTATTCTCAATACTATTCCATTCTTAATTCTGGTCAATTCAATACACATGTGCATTATCCTTCCAAATATGCTGGCTTCTTAACGATTTGAGCTTCTCTTTCAAAGATTGTGTCCTCCACCCTGCTTAACCCCCTCACTCCCATGATAATGTCCTAACATTTTGTCAGCACTAAAGTGTATAACCTCCCCATATTCTCAAAGTCATCCAGGTCAATCGTTGACCATCCCCACCATCTTAGTTCTCTCTCTAGTTCCCCATCTTTAATAATCCTTCACCCTCATCCGAACCTTCAAATCAGGTGGTCCTACTATCTCTTCTCTAATGTCCTCTACTCCCTGTTTACCAAGCGTAAGTTTCATGCCCATTTATTGGTATGTGCTGGGTTCTCATCTGCTCAGATACCAGGAACAGGGAAAGGAAAGGTTAAGGAGGAAAAAACCCCCAAAACCTTACAAAACCTCAGAGGGCTAAAACCAAGGTGGCAATATCTGAATATTTTTAAAAAATATTGTTTTTAAGTGCAAATAATTATTCCCTAACAGGTTTCAAGTGTCTTAAAATTTCTACCTCACTACTCTTTTAAAACAACTAAAATCAGGGTAAAATTTTAATGTAGAACTAGCTCTAAATACACAAATGCAGTCATACCTAGCATCCACCTTTCAACTTGCTGAATGCTCTCCTCTCCCTTTGTAGAGCAGATCGACTGAAGCCCAGGACTCACTGAGTAGGTGAAGCTCACAGGCTTTAGATCATGCACACTTGTACTTTAGTGTCCCCAGGTGAGCTGGCTGCAGAATTACCACTGGTCACTTGTGTTTGTTCCCAAACTTGTTCATGCTAATTGTACTTAGATTTATAATTATACTAGAGGCCTGGCGCACAATATTCATGCACAGGTAGGGTCCCTAGGCCTGGCCTGCAATCAGGGCCCATCTTCCCTGGCTGCCGGCAGCTGGCCTCGCCCCTCACCCTCTGTGTGTAGGGCAACTGGTGGGGCAATTGGGGCCCCGGCGCCGCCCGCGTTTGTTCACCGCCACCCACCTCTGGCTCCCCATTCCCCATCGGGCGATCCCCTCACCCTCTGTGTGTAGGGCAACTGGTGGGGCGATTAGGGCCCCGGCGCCACCCATGTTTGTTCACCGCCACCCACCTCTGGCTCCCCGTTCCCCATCGGGCAATCTGGGCCTGTAGGCTGGGGGGCAGCTCCTGCATTGAGCATCTGCCCCCTGGTGGTCAGTATGCATCAAAACTGTCTGGTCGATTTGCATATTATGCTTTTATATATATAGATATGAGTATACAAACAATCTATACATATAAAAGCCTAAGCAGCCTTCCAATTGTCATGGACCCCTCGGGAGATGTCAGAGAGCCAGTTTCGGCCCAATCCCCACAGGCCAGGTTGAGGGACCTCACTGGTGCATGAATTCATGCACCGGGGCTCTACTGTAATATAAATGTAAATAGAAAACATTTTTATTTTCTATGAAAAGTACATTGAATACTTTGGCAAGATTTGATAAAGAAGTACTGAACAAATTGCTATTTGATTAGGTGTGTGAGTCAACTGTGAAAGTCTGGGTAAGAATGTAAGAGAGACTGTTCAGATTCCTTTCCAATTGCTTTTAAGTTCTTGATCCATTTTTAAAGAAACCAAACTCTATTTTATGTGTGGCTCATGTAAGAAAGATGACAAATGGTCCCAAACTCAAAGAAAAGGCGTTGGCTCTACATCTAAAGAGTGACAAATGAATATTAATATATTTTAAGTTACAATAACATGTTTAACCCTTTTCTGTCCACGACCAGGCGCTAGGAGCAGGGCCAACGTCGAGGCTGAGACTGCAAACCGGTTCAACATTCAATCCCGTCAATTAATTTGGACCAGACTGAATTCCAAAAACAAAATTGGACCGCAACGGGTTAAAGTAAGAATTTACCATATTTAGAATTTCTTGATTTTGTTGATTTTTTAAATTAATCAACATCATTACCAATTGACTGTATAGATAAGAGAGCCTTGTTTACAAAGTACCCTCACACATAATCTCACCTGCACCTCATGGTAACTCTGTGAGTGAGACACTTGTTTTACAGACAAGGAAACTGAGGCCTAGGGAAGGGAGCTGAGATGGTTTACCTTCAGTCGCATGACATACACGTGAAGCTTTACTTCCTGAGCACTGAGGCCTCCTGGTGGCCATAGGACTTTGGGTTCCCCCCATATGCATAGCAATGATGGCAGTAACAACAACAATGGCCGACTTTTAAAGAACACTTAATATGTTCTAGACATCATGCTAAGCACTTTATGCATATTTCATATATTCTCACCCAACCCCAATATCTAGGAAGTATTATCTCAACATTTCTACAGGTAATAAAACTGAGGCTCAGAGAAATAAAGGAACTTGCCTAAATAGGGAAGCCATATTTTGACTCTAGACACTGTGACTCCTGACTGCGTGCTCCTGATCAATGAACCACACTTCCTCTCACTTTGCAGCAGGACTCCCTACATCCCAGGTAAAAATCATCCTTGCTCCAAGGCTGGCCAATCTCTGAAGAGCAGTGATGGCCACCAGACAAATCGAAGTTTAGGGTGGATTTTTTTTACGCAGAATCCCTTTCCATACACAACCTACCTAATGAGAATGGGGGCTCTTCAATCTAGACTGTACATGAGCCTCAGAGAGAAGGTAAGCAAGAAGACTGGGATGTCCAACTCCTCAAGTGCAGACTCCAAATCACTAACCTTGTAAATGTTTTGTAAGACAAGGTGCATCTTATCAGGATGAACAGCAGAGAGCACAAATATCAGCAGGACAACATCCACAGACTCGGGGGGCACATGTTCCATAAGGTCATCTTTAGTTAGGTCGCACTGGAATACCTTGCATCTTTCTGTATCATATAAAGGATTTTGCTAAAGAGAGGAAAAATACAAAAGAATTTTAATGCCATATCCACGTTGATACATATAGAAAAATACAGCCTCAAAAGGAGATCCTGTTTCCACTTGTATACTACTGCACAGAGATCACTGATCACTTTGTTATAGGTAAAATGAGTAATGAACCATTTGCACATTAAAGAATGGAATATGCAATACGAGGGGCAAGATTTCCTTTTAACAAATCATTTTTAATTGAGGACAGAATATAGCCTATCACATATTCCAAATACCTCCAGAGGGATAATAATCCAAAACTGGTCTCTGCTTCCTTAATCCTCCTTTGAATGAATCATCAACTACAAAATTAAACTTATAAGAAGTCTTTCCAGCTCCCACAGTTCTCCTGGGTATATTAAACCTTGATGCAGCAAGCTAAATAAACCTAAATTCTTTTATTATAAGTGTGTTCCTGGTGCACTTTGGTTGGTGGGTTTAATGCTTTTATAAACGCATTATAAAGAAAAATATAAAACTTTGCTTTAATGTAAATAAGGGCCTGAATAAATAGAAAGTTACTGAATGGGAAGATTCAATACTGAAAAGACGCCAACTCTACCTATCATTCCACTTACAAATCCAGTGCAATCTCTACTGAATCCTAGTAAGTTTCTAGAAACTTGACATGGTAAATTTGATTAATCTGGAAGTGAAAATCTTTAGGAATAGCCAAGTTAACTTTTAAAAATGAAAAATAATGAGGGAGAAGTGTAGTACTAACATAATGTGGTTTGAGAATGGGAACAAATAGAGACTGGGAAAGAGGAATAAGTTAAACAATGATACAAAGAAACATTTTGGAATGTGGGACCTCATTACAGAAAATGGCTCATTTTCCAAAAGCTCAATGTCAGTGTGGAAAAGGGTCAATGGGAAGGGCAGGAATATTTTAGGCTAAGGAGACTTAAGGTACATAATGAAATATAAGATGTAGTCCTTGATGAAATATAGCTATCAAAAACACCTGGGACTATCTGAGGAAATCTGAATCTGGATTGGGTATTAATGACATTAGGGAATTAGAGTTATTTTTGTTATATATGTGTTTTGTGGTCATATAGAGAAAATCCTTATTGAAAATGTATGCAAACATGTTTAACAGTGAAATATCTGTAATTTAAAACAGTTCACACACAAAAAAGTCTATAAAACAAATTCAACAAAATGCTGGCAATCATCAAATTTGGTATAAGCAGTCTGACTCATGTTGCTCAGTGGTTGAGCGTCGAACTATGAACCAAGAGGTCCCCAGTTTGATTCTTGGTCAGGGCACAGGGCCAGGTTGTGGGCTTCATCGCCAGTAGGAGGCAGCTGATTGATGTTTCTCTCTCATCAATGTTTCTCTCTATTCCTCTCCCTTTCTCTTTCTCTAAAATCAATAAAAAGCTATTTTTTTTAAATTTTGGTATAAGTATATGGGTGCTGTTATGGTATTTCTTTCTACTTTTCTGAATAAAGCTATTTTTCTATAAGTATTATATATGTATGTAAATGGAAAACTACTTTTTTTATTATCATAGCTGTTCAAAGTACAGGGAGAGAACAGAAATTGGGCAAATGGGTATAAAGGGCAGGTTAAACAAATCTAAAAAACCAGAAACATAAGAGAATACATGGATGGTGCACCAACCTGGACATATTCAACTGCTCTTGGAGAAAAATCACAGGCATAAGCAAAGATATTCAGATCTTCTAAAAGTGGGAATAAACAGTTCCCAACCCCACAGCCAGCTTCAAGTACAGTCAATTTTTGATCTTCAAACTGAGGAAAGAGAACCCAAAGTTAGAGTACACTACGTTTGCATAATGAAGAAATAAACCAAACTAAAAGGTCCAGAACATGTAAGACAAGGTCTCTGCCCTCAGAGACAATAAATAACTGATAACCCAAAGCTAATACCGACATCTCAATTTGTCATCCAACATTGGGTAGTTCGGTGTGGAGAAAACACAGCATTAACAGCTCAATCCAGACTTTCCCCCTCACGTCTGTTTTCTATCGTTGGACAAATCAGTTAGACAGCTTTGTCCCTAATGTCATCAGTAAGTGGGGTTAACACTAATGCCTGCTTTACACTGCTATTACAAGGCTTAAATCACAGATGTGAAGTTCTAGAAAAGGGCATGGTCAAGTGATTATCATCATTATGAATCTGTCACTGAAGTTCTTCAGTATTCGTCCCATCCATGGAAAGATGGCCGGTTCAATTCCCAGTCAGGGCACATACCCAGGTAGTGGGTTAGATTCCCAGTTAGGGCACATTCAGGGGGCAACGGATGGCCATTTCTCTCTCTCCCTTCCTCTCTCTAAAATCAATTTTTTAAAAATTTTAAATAAAGAAACAACAGCTCAAATAAGGTGTAGCATTACCTCCCTACATGATCTGAGCTCCTCAAACTCTCTGATGGTCCAGTGTCTGTCTTTGAAGAAATTAGTACTATTTCTTTTGTAAAAAAGATCCCAGTTCCTCTGAGCCTCTTTTTCCAGTTTTTGTTGTTTAAAATCAGACACTAAAGTTTGGTCCCTTTTCAGCTTCTCCTCTTCTTCGGAGCTGAGGATCCTTGCTGGCAGCCCCTTCCTTTGCAAAGATGCCATCTCATCAGCTGGTGGTAACA